GACATTAATAAGTAAAGAATAAAGCTTTACTTTTAATTTTAATAAATAAAATAAGTAAAATTAATTCGTGGAAAATATGATTTATTTTCTTTTTATTTTCTCTTTTGAAAATGGAAACTACTAAAAGTGAAAATTCTTCAAAATATGAATCAAACACATTAATCTTGCTAACTTTATGTCTTACACGCAGTTATGCAGTACCTAGCTAAATATAAAAATAATAATGTTTTTTTAACGCAATGTTCCGTTTTTAATTCTCATAGAAATTAGCTATATATTCTAAACTTGAAATAGAATTTCAAAGAAGCAAAAATGGATCAATCTGTAGAGGCCCTCCATCACCCCGTCAATTATAATCGACGGACATCTTTTATTTACGTACGTATCATAAAATGGAGTTGTTTTAGTTCAAATTTTGATAATATTCAACCAAACAACAGCATGTTGATCAGAATCAGGCTGCAAAACAACATTTTAAAAACAATATTTTTAAAAACATTTTAAACTGCTTTTCCTGATTGTGAACATGTGCGCTGTTACGTAAAAAACTTTGAGTTAAAGTTATTCCGTCTGGGCTGAAGTTACCCGATTTTGTGATACTTAAAGAACTTTATTCTTATTAATTACTTATTTTTTTTACCATTTTACATTATGTTATAATACAAAATTATAAAATACAATTCTAATTTAATTTAACAAATGTGACTTACAACATATACATTAATTTAAAATAGTATAGTATACAAAAATATATTGTATAATGTAATACAGTATGTAAAATTGAATATAAAATGTAATATATAAATGATTACTAATATAATACAATAATTGTTTGTATATTATACTAATAACAATAATATATTATAATAATAATTATTTATAATATAAAATGCAATTATAAATGCTATTCAAAATAATAATATTAATATTAGAATTATAACAAACAGATTTTAATAATTATTATACGAAAATGTCAAAAATACGATAACACAAATTTTATTAAATCAATGATTACCGAAATATTAATAAACGCAATGAAATATTAACAATAATTAGATCATATTTAATTTTAATTATTAATTTGCAATTATAAAATTTATTAAATTTCATCTAACACGAGCAATAAGAATAAAAAAGTCATTAATATATTTATCTCTTATACCCATTTCCACCAACCAAATAGATTAATTTTAATCTCAGTTCAATTTACTCTCCGTCTTTTACTAATTCTAAAGATAAGAAAAAGATGAAGAGTAAATAACGAATCGAAATTAAAGTTAATCTACATTGGTAAAAAACAAACATTAATCAACCGACCCAACAATTTGACCATATCAAGATCCCTCCGTCTAACAGTACGATTATTATCCGCTACAAAGAACAATTTTCATAGTAGAGAGCGAACTTAACGTATTCTGATTCTACGTCAAGTTCATAAAATCCATTTTCGCAAAGAAAAGTTTATTAAATGATCCATCAAACCAATGATCTTATTACGGGAAGGTGTGAATCCCGATTTTTCCAGACCGCTTATGATAGTAATAATTTTGACAGAATATCAATTACAATTACCATTTTTATCGCATCTTTAATTTTAATATTATAAAAGTCACTTATCGTGAGAAAATATGTTCTACTAAATTTCATTAAAATTTATAAAAATGTCATTACTAAAAATTATCTTTTATTAAAAAAGAATGGTTTATTAAAAAAGAAAGATTTTCTTATAGAGTAGTGGTTACGAAGAAATACATTTAATGATAATAAAACACATGCATTATTGTAATTTTTTATGTATGGATACAGAAGTTTCTTGGGTACCAATTGTTCGAGACGAGACGAATCCGATAATAGTGGGTGGGACTTTAAAGAACTATTTTATACTATAAAAAATTTATTACATAAATCTAATAATTTTCTATATTTTTCTGTATTTTTCACAAATTTTAATTATTAATATCCCGCTAATATGAGAGTATTCAGTCGACTCATCTCGAATTTTTTATATCCACACATTTTTAATTAAATTCATGTATTTATGATAATATGCCAAAGAATATAAAAGCATTTTGCATAAAATTATCTAAAACGACAAAAATTTGTTAAATATAGTAATCTTGTAATTTACGCGCGCGCATGTATTTTATTATAGAAAAGTATATATAAATATTTATAT